TCCCTCACCTCCTCGGGGCAGGTCTGTGGCCGTGGCAGCCGTTTCTCATCCTGCAGGACCCGCACGAGCCGCGCCACCGTCATCTGTCCCTGTGTGGGGCCGATCATCTTCAGGAATTCCTGGGGGGACAGCGGGATCAGCCAGAATCCCCTCCCAGCTGAGGGACAACCCCTGGGGCTGTTTGTCAGGATAAACCTGGGGCTGGTGGGAGGAGCTCCCATGGAAAGAGTTGATGCCATAGGATTTTTAGTTTCTGTATTCTTGTACTTCCCTACCTAGTACAGCACTAAAACTGCCATTCTCCCATCTTTAGACAAAACAATTCCTCTCCGAGCCTGAATCCAAGGACACCTTAGAGCCCCAAAATATGGAAACAACAGAATTGGAGGGACATCACCACTTGAAAAGATGATTGGAGAATTAAGATCCAGTATGTTAATAAGGCAGAACTTATAAAAGGCGAAAATCTCGTGACTCGGGGTCCATTTGGGTGTCGCCTCAGGAGGAGGCTTTGTCTGCTCTAATCTACCAGAGACCTGCTAGGCCTGGATTAAAGCTGTCCTTATTCTCTTAACTTTGTCTGGCCTCTGTTTCAGATCAGCCTGATTGACAAGGCACCAGGCTGAACGAGACAAGCATTAGGGTCCCTCCCACCCCAAACCATCTGGAATTCTCTAATTCCTCATCTTGTTGCCCAAAATAAWAWYTTTTTTTTTTTTAARKATGRGATTTCAGCAGCTGTGAAGTATTTATTTCAAGCACTCACCGCCATGGGGCTGGCCTCGGAGTCGCAGTAGGTGAGCAGCTCGTAGAGCGTCACCCCGAAGGACCAGACATCGGAGGCGATGTAGAACTTGGACTGCAGCAAACACTCAGGAGCATACCTGGGGACACGAGGGGACACGAGGGGACAGTGTCACTGCCAGGGCCCCCAGAGCCACTGCTGCATTGGCAGAGCCCTGGCATGGAAATTGGAGTGCAAAGTGATAAATAAAGGGTGTCCCACAGCATGGCACTGTGACAGTGAACAGACAGAACCCAAAGCAATGGGAAGGTCCATGCTCCCATGGTGGATCTTCAATCAGACCCCATAAACCAGGAAAAGCCCCAAGGATGCCCCAAGACTGAGGGCACAGCAGCAGCAGCTCCAGGCCGTACCAGAAGACGGGGCTGTCGCGGTCGTCCTTGACCGTGTAATACTCCTTGTCCGTCTCGATGGCCTTGGTCAGCCCAAAGTCCCCGATCTTCACCCTGTTCTCGCTCTCCACCAGCACGTTCCTGGCTGCCAGGTCCCGGTGCACGTACTGGCACGAGCCCAGGTAGTCCATGCCCTGTGAGGGAGCAAAAGGAACCCTTTATCCTCTCAGCTCTCCCATTCTCCAATCCCAGTTTTTCTCAAATTCATGGCCTGACCAAACTCTGCACTCTCACCTCCATCCCTTTACACTTCACCTCATCCCTCCCTCCTGATCCCCCAAATCCTCACACAGGAACAACTTTTCACTGCAGACTTTGGAGCCTCCTGACATTTCCTGCTGCTCATTGTGCCAGCAGCACCCAAAGAGGGGACAGGTGGCTTTGGGATTCAGATCTTGGGGACAGAGGACAATGTCCTCTGGGACAATATTGGGGATGTTTCCCTGGGTTTGTTGGGGATGTTTTCCAGGGTTTTTTCCTGGGTTTGTTGGGGATGTTTTCCTGGGTTTGTTGGGGGTGCTTTCCTGGGGTTATTGGGGATGTTTTTCCGCATTTATTGGGGATATTTTCCTGGGTTTGTTGGGGGTATTTTCCTGGGTTTGTTGGGGGTATTTTCCTAGGTTTGTTGGGGGTATTTTCCTGGGTTTGTTGGGGGTGTTTTCCTGGGTTTGTTGGGGGTGTTTTCCTGGGTTTGTTGGGGATGTTTTCCCAGGTTTGTTGGGGATGTTCTCCTGGGTTTGTTTGGGATGTTTCCCCGGGTTTGTTTGGGATGTTTTCCCGGGTTTCTTGGTGATGTTTTCCTGGGTTTGTTGGAGATGTTTTCCCCGGTTTGTTGGGGATGTCTTCCATCCCCCTCACTGCAGATAGAACCGAGGAGCTGCCAGCTCCGGGGCCAGCTCACCTTGCAGATCTGCACGGCGTATCGGAGCAACTGCTTGAGGTTGATCTTGTTCTTGTTCCGTGGCAGATAYTCCTTCAGGCTCCCCGAGGGCAGGAATTCCATGATGAGTTTAATCCCGCTTCCTCCTAAAASCAGAGCATGTTTGGTGTGCAGACCCTGCCCACATCATCACCACCAGCAGCTTTTGACAGGCCCAGAGCACCGTTTGTACCCTCCCATGGCTCATTGCCACATCCATCCACAGGGAAACCTGCTCCAGGCAGGACATTCCTACATTTTAAAGGAAAACCCACACAAATTTTCATATTCTACAGGATTTACCATCTTCTGTGCAGATGCCCTTGTATTTGACGATGTTGTCGTGGTAGAGGTTCCTCAGGATCTCAATTTCTTTCTTGAGGTCAGCGATGTGGTTCCCTCCGCTCTCCGGCTTCAGGGACTTCACTGCCACCTGCTCGCCGGTGTTGTCACCYTCGGGGTCGTACCTGCACAGCTCCACCTTCCCAAAGTGGCCCTGGGGGAGAGGGGAGCAGCCTTGAGGAGGAGTTCAGACAGGGACACCCAAATGGGGGTGGATGTGACACAGCCCGGGCTGTGGGGACACCCACCACTGCCTGGGGACACCCAGCACTGCCTGGGGACACCCAGCACTGCCTGGGACCTTGGGGACACCCAGCACGGCCTGGGGTCTGTGGGGACATTGCTCTTACCTCCCCCAAATCCCGGATCCTTTTCAAGAACCTTTTCTCAAAGAGTGTGGGATCCACCTCGGTGACCGGCTTCTTCTCCGAGACAATATCGGGGTCTGCGAGGGGGAAAACGTGCCAGGTCAGATTCCTGTGGGAATTTCAACACTCCAAAGGCATCCTGGTTTCATTCCCACATTTTCCCTTAGATCCCTGCTGCTTTCTGGTGGAATTCATCCACACCTGCCAGTCTGCATCTTCTTCCAGCCCCTCACTGATTTCTCTTGATGAAAATCCCATATCCACCCCGCAGCAGCTCCTCCCCTTCCCTGAGTTCAGGAGATGCTCCCTCCTGAGCCACCCTGCTCCGGGACTCCAGGATGCCCTGATCCCTCCCTCCA